TGTAATCCCAGGACTTTGTGAAGCTAAGGCAGGCAGATTGCTTGAGCCCAGGAGTTCAAGACCAGTCTGGGCAACATGCCAAAACTCTGTCTCTACAAAAAAAAAAAAAAAAAAAATCAGACAGGTATGGTGGCATATACCTGTAATCCCAGTTACTCAGGAGGCTAAGGTGGAAGGATCACTTGAGTCTAGGAGGTCAAGGCTGCAGTGAGCTGAGACTCAGCCACTGCACTCCAGCATAGGCGACAGAGTGAGACCCTGTCTCAAAAAAAGAAAATATATAACCAGATACTGTGATCGCTCTCCTGATTTTGGGTTCTTATGAATGTGCTTTCATGTGGATAGTTGTTCAATTTGGTGTTCCTGCAGGGGTGACCATTACTGAAGGATTCTATTTGGCTATCTTACACCACCTCCTCCAAGCCATTACTATTGACACCATTCACTATAACTGTTTTGTCTGGCGTGGTCATGTAAGGCAAGAAAAAACCCAAGCACTAGTACAAGCAGGTGTCCTAAATGAGGACATTTAGACCAGTGCCTTTCAAACCTGGCTATGTATTTCAATCACCTGGGGAGCTTTTTAGAAAAAACATGATGCTTCAGTCACACCTCAGATCTATGGAATCAAACCCTGAGAGAATGAAGCTTGGTGTTACAGGGGTTAAAAGCTCTACAAGTGGCTGGGCACAGTGGCTTATGTCTGTAATCCCAGCACTTTGGGAGACCGAGGCCGGGTGGATCACCTGAAGTCAGGAGTTCAAGACCAGCCTGGCCAACATGGTAAAATCGCATCTCTACTAAAAACACAAAAATTGGCTGAGTGTGGTGATGGGTGCCTGTAATCCCAGCTACGCAGGAGGCTGCAGCAGGAGAATCACTTGAACCTGGGAGGCAAAGGGTGCAGTGAGCCAAGATGGTGCAACTGTACCTCAGCCTAAAAAAAAAAGGACTCCAGGTGATCATGGAGAACAGTGAAGAACAGTGAATACTGAGAACCAATAACCAGAATCACCTGGGGAGTTTTCAAACCTACTAACAAGGGATCTGGCAGTTCAAAAACTTTGGTCTGGAAAGAAGCTATGGAATCTACAGCTCCCCCACCCCCCTCCTTTTTTTTTGAGAGAGTCTCACTCTGTCACCCAGACTGGAGTGCAGTGGTACAGTGGTGTGATCATGGCTCACTGCAGCCTTGATTGCCCAGGCTCTAGCAATCCTCGCACCTTAGCCTTCCAAGTAGCTGGGACTACAGGTGTGTAGCACCACACCCAGCTAGCTAGCTCATGGAATCCCTATCCTAACAAGCTCACCAGATGATGCTGAGACACAATCAGGCATGAGTTTCACGGCTCTCCAGGGCAGTGGTACTCAAACTTTAAAGTGCAGAAGAATCACCTCAGGATTTTGCTAACTGTAGGGAGTTTGTTAAACATGCAAATGCTTGTGTCCCAAGCCTAGAGGTTTTGATTCATTTGGTCTGGGTTAGGCCTTAACAATCACCCCCATGTAATTCTCAATTATATGGTGCCCAGACCATGCTTTATGAAGCACTCCACTAGGGATACAGAGATGAATTAGACTCAGTACCTGTTCTTAGTGTGTTGACACATTAATAGAGGAAATAAGAGAAATGTAATTGTCAGAGAAGAACTCCTTACAGCACCTAGAGTTTGCCAACAATAGAATGCATTAACTGAAGGAACTGGTAAGGTTTCAAGTAAAAAAAAAAAAAGAAAACTAAGGAATTTTTTTTTTTCTCTGACAGGGAAAAACATATAACGCTTTTCTTGATGCAGGAAACTCTAATATTACCTTTAGAGTTTTAACCTATTCTTTTTTTTTTTTTTTTTTTTTTTTTGGAGGCAGAGTCTTATTCTGTCACCCAGACTGGAGTGCAATGGCGCGATCTTGGCTCGCTGCAACCTCTGCCTCCTGGGTTCAAGCGAGTCTCCTGCTTCAGCCTCCTGAGTAGTTGGGATTACAGGTGCTCATCACCACGCCTGGCCACTTTTTGTATTTTTAGTGGAGACAGGGTTTCATTATGTTGGTCAGGCTGGTCTCGAACTCCTGATCTCAGGTGATCTGCCCACCTCAGCCTCCCAAAATGCTGGGATTATAGGCCTGAGCCACCACGCCTGGCCCAGTTATTATTTTTAAGTAATCTAAAACAGATATAGCAAATATCATATCAAAGTTGTGACTGAAAATTATCTGAAAGCCATAATTTAAAAGTTCATTGCCTAACATGAAATCAGAAAGAAAAGATGTTATGAAAATCACATTAAAACATAACATATATATATATATACACACACACATATATATGTATTCTCATTTCCAAAGACTATAAAGCATATCACTAACTTTTCACGTGAATGATTCATTTCGGCAATCCTATGGAAAATGTCACATGCAGTTCTAAGACTATAAATAAGAAGTTATTGATTCTAGTTTTAGTGTTCCCAGGTATGGGTATAGAAAATGTATTATGTCATTTTGCTCCTAATGTGGGAAGAGAGCTAGGCTAGAGCAGTCACTTCAACAGACTGGCATGCATATAAAGGTTGCTATTTTTTGTTTGTTTGTTTTTGAGACTGAGTCTAGTTCTGTTGCCAGACTGCAGTGCAGTGGCACAATCTTGGCTCACTGGAACCTCCACCTTTCAGGTTCAAGTGATTCTCCTGCCTCAGCCTCCCAAGTAGCTGGAATTACAGGCACGCACCGCCATGCCCAGCTAATTTTTTTTTTTTTTTTTTTGAGGCGGAGTTTCGCTCGTTACCCAGGCTGGAGTGCAATGGCGCGATCTTGGCTCACCGCAACCTCCGCCTCCTGGGTTCAGGCAATTCTCCTGCCTCAGCCTCCTGAGTAGCTGGGATCACAGGCACGCACCACCATGTCCAGCTAATTTTTTGTATTTTTAGTAGAGACGGGGTTTCACCTTGTTGACCAGGATGGTCTCGATCTCTTGACCTCGTGATCCATCCGCCTAGGCCTCCCAAAGTGCTGGGATTACAGGCTTGAGCCACCGCGCCCGGCCTAATTTTCGTATTTTTAGTAGAGACAGGGTTTCACCATGTTATCCAGGATAATCTCAGATTCCTGACCTTGTGATCCATCTGCCTCAGCCTCCGCAAGTGGTGGGATTACAGGTGTAAGCCACTGCTCCTGGCCTTTTTTTTTTTTTTTTTTTTTTTTGAGACAGAGTTTTGCTCTTGTCGCCCAGGCTGGAATGCAGTGGCACGATCTCGGTTCACGCAACCTCTGCCTCCTGGGCTCAGGTGATTCTCCAGCCTCAGCCTCCCACGTAGCTGGGATTGCAGGCATGCACCACCGCACCCGGCTAATTTTTTTTTTTTTTTTTTTTGTATTTTTAGTAGCGATGGAGTGTCACTATGTCAGCCAAGCTGGTCTTGAACTGCTGACCTGGTGATCCCCCCGCCTCAGCCTCCCAAAGTGCTGGGATTACAGGTGTGAGTCACCACACCCAGCCAAGGCTGCCATTTTCAACTGTGTTTCCATGGGAGCTGAATGCGGTATGGAATTCCCTATGAGATTTTATCTTCTGGCTATAGCTTTTCAAAGGAAAATGTATCTGAGTTTAGCATGGTTTCTTGGAAGAGGTATGTGTGAGATGACTTCATACCCTTATCTACAGTAACAACCATTGTAAACATTTATTGAACACCTACTGTGTGTATGGTAATGCAGACACCCTCCTTCACATAGCTTTTGTTTTAGTTGGAGAGACAAGGCAAGCACAAAAAGAGGTGAAGGACCAGCTCAACAGACCATGTGGTCAATAAGAAATAGAGAAGTGCTGGGCGTGGTGGCTCATGCCTGTAATCCCAGCACTTTGGGAGGCTGAGGCAGGCAGATCACCTGAGGTCAGGAGTTCAAGACCAGCCTGGTCAACATGGTGAAACCCCATCTCTAATAAAAATACAAATAATTAGCTGGGTGTGGTGGTACGTGCCTGTAATCCCAGCTACTTGGGAGGCTAAGGCAGGAGAATTGCTTGAACCCAGGAGGTGGAGGTTGTAGTGAGCCAAGATCATGCAACTGCACTCTAGCCTGGGCGACAGGTCGAGACTCAGTCTCAAAAAAAAAGAGAGAAGTGAGAAGTAGATAGGCCAGAGAAGGGTTCCTAAACAGTACTTGAGCTGGGTATTGAAGAAAGGGTGGGAGAGAAGGGCTTCCTGTTCATCTGTTTATTTATCAGATTAATTCAAATGCGCTTGGCATCACGAACATAATGGTGAACAAATTTCAATAAAATTGAAAGTGTCGCGGTCCTGCTGCAGTTTATAACCCAGACAAATAAATCATGGAATTTACAACACTGTAATATGTGCTATAACAGCGGTAAGCCCAGAAGAAAGGTACCCTATCCAGATCGCTGGTGGTGTGTGCAAAAATTCTAGAATAAACAAGATCAAAATTGGTATTTTTTAAAATAGGCATTAACTAAGCAAAGAGTAGAAGTGTGCTAAGCAGAGAGAACGGCATCCTGTAAAAGCCCAGGGAAAGAGGGAGCGTGACATTGATGTAGAATGGGAGAAGTAGGGGCAAAGGACCTCAGGGAAGAACAGATTATGTACCAGGGACAGTATGGACACCCGTCAGGTTACAGCGCTAGGAGATAGGTCTGGCAGGTTAGGAGGTGAAGGAGTCTGGGGCCCGTGGATACTCACTGAAGGTTACTGAGCCAGGAGAAGACAGCATGGGTAAAGCAACGATTTAGGAAGATAGTCCCTAAGTATGGGCAGGGTGGCAGGATGCTTCAGTAGGATTTCTCCGAGCAGGCTGTAGTCAGGGTTCAACAAATTATTTGACCTAACTATATTTCCCTACTTTGTGATTGCTTTTCCTCTCTTCCCCGCTGCACAGTACTTCCCAGTAGGATAGACAACTGTATGAAATCGGAACTGACTCTACGCCTGTTAGATGAGTATGGAGTTTCCATCTAAGTGATTGCTTCCCTTATTTTCTCCTGTGCATAGTACTTCCCAGTAAGACAGACCATTGTATGAAATCGGAACTGACTACACTTTTGTTAGATAAGTATGAACTTTCCATCTATGACCTGAACGGAGATCTGAGGGGCCGAGAAGCATGGCCAAACTACTACGCACAAGCACATGGGCTTGTTTTCGTCCTGGATTCCAGTGATATAAGACGCATGCGGGACGTGAGGATCATCTTAACACATCTGCTGCCTGATAAAAGAGTGGCAGGGAAACCCATCTTACTGTAAGATTCGGCCTTTCTGTCCTATTTTCCCTTCCCGATTTGTACCCTCAAAAGTATAGAAATGAAGGGTAGAGTGGTCCCTTTGTCACACCCAGCTATGCCTCCTGTTCCCTTAGGCTCCGTGAGGTAGAGCGGCCCAGTTCTCTGTGGGCTGTTCTCAAGAGCTACTTTCTACCACACATTGCCATGGGGGACATGTTACCTAACTGTACAAAAGTCATTTTAAAGGAAAGCATCAAAGGGAAATGAAAAGTGATATCCACTACCACCATGCCTTGACTCTTCCTGAAGACTACCTTCCTGAATTTGCTTATCATTTTTTTCGGGCTCTGATCCTGAAACCTCATGATAGCAGAGAACCCCTATCTTGTAGAATTGATGCCAATGACCTCCTCTGATCAGATTGCTCAAAAGTTACATAACTGGCACTTATTCCAGGGAGATAATGCAGGTGGCCAATTTTCATCCCTGCCCCCAACTTCCTTTATGCCTCTTTCATTCCTCATTAGCAACCCCAACTAGAGCATGAACAGAGTTTGGGAAACGATGTAAAAACTCCAAATCTGTTCATAGCCCAGTTAGCAATTCTAATTAAAGTTTGATAGCATAATGTAGGGGAAGTGAGAGATGAGCCTTCGGGGGGACTATCTTGGATTCAAATGATTTGTGCTATACTTTCCTTCATTTGGAGTTGGCTAGAAAAATGTCTAGCTCATCTCATTAGGTATGTTTTTAACTTAATTCCTGGATATTTAGCAGTTATAGTAGAATTTCTTCTCCTCTCTCCCTTCTTTTCTCGCCTTTTGCTTCTATTTTGGTTTCAGTCTTTCACTCTTTTTTCCTCCCTCTCTCATATGCCGTTTTAGCCTAGCAAACAAACAGGACAAGAAGAAAGCCCTCATGCCTGGTGATATTATTGATTATCTATTTCTAGACAAGCTCGTGAAAGAGAATAAGTGCCCGTGCCGACTGGTAAGTGTCAACCCCTTTCTTCCCTCTTCCTCTAGAGCCCTTGGCTCATTCTATAATCAGCCCCATATGTTGGGTTTGGGGCAACGCCTCTCCCTGTCAGGCGACACCCACAGTGATTCCTGACTTGACGGTGGTAACAAATACTGCATTCTGCCTTCAAAATAGCTCTGTAAAGTGGACACACGAATATCTCCATTTTATGGATAAAAAAGTCAAGGCTCAGAGACCCTACGTGACTTGCTCAAGGTCACACATCCAAGACACCACAACCACTTTATTAAAGGACCTCAGCTTTTGTGTCTGTCATTTACCTTTTCAGATGTGAATGCTGAGTGACTCCTAGAAGTCTCACTGCCTCTCTAGGCATGGCACAGCTTATGTGTTCCTCCACTCTTTGAATAAGAGTGACTGGTTCTGCTGGTCCCAGAGGCCCCAGGCTCCAGGTCTGCAGCCTTCTCTTCTCTTTTTGTCACAGGAGCCATGTTCAGCCATCAGCAACCTTGACAGAAGAAACCATCAGCCCATAGTTGAAGGACTGCGCTGGCTATTAGCTGTCATTGCTACTCGCCAACTACCACCCACTTTGAGCATCCCAATCTCCAAGGAAAACAGAGGCTCTGAACAGAGATGCTCTTCAAGCAGGTACTGAGATGCCTCTATGAGATTTACTGATAAAAAAAAAAGCAGCGGGGGTCAGTCTTCCTCACAAGCAAGGTATTCTGGGAGATGCTTGGATTCTGGGTGACATTGAGCAAGTCTCTTGATATCAGTTGGCTCAAATGGGGCTACGACAATGCCCACCAACACTCCAACATTGTCAGGTATACCCCATCCCTAGCATAACTTGGTCATGTGAGGGGAATGATTTTAATAAAGGTAAGCCAACCTATCAGCATTAGAGCTTCTCTAAAACAGGGTTACTAATCTCTAATTAGAGAAGAGAAATATGGAGGAGAAGAGGAACATGATCCCCTTAAGGAGCCTACTGGCATTATTCTACGGATGAATGTCATGAACCTACTCTGTATTCTCAGCCTCTAGTTCTATAATCCTCCCAATAATGAGGAATGATGGGAGAGGACAGAAATGTTGAAAAGAGGAAAAAGAAAATAGTAGGTGATCAGGGTTTTGAGGAGCAAAAGGCCTAAACATCCCCTTGCTCTGTTGTCATTTTCATTGCCCAAAGGCATATGGCAGGGATGGGGTAGTAGCTCCATAGATAAATAAGCTCAGAGTGTGTCTGCTTCTACTACTGTTGTCCTTTCCATCTTCTCCCACCTTCTCCACCAGACTTGAAATGCCAAAGAAGAAAACGCAGCATCTAGAACAATATTCAATAGAAGCTAAGCCTCTAAAGTCAATCCTACAGGTAAATGGCTCTTTAAATGCTAATACTCAGTGGCCAGTCCCTGAACACATGGGCACTAACTGACTTCTTCCCCCATCTTCTTGCTGTACAGAAAGAAGGAACAAGATTACGGCCTAAAAAGAATATGTCAGTAACATTTGCTTTACATGATGAACCCAGGAAAGAAGCTGAACATTCTAGAAGAATTAGAGCTCGGAATACTATGGAGCTTTGCTACAAATGAAGCTCCATATGTTGATGACAATATTTTTTAAGGTAATGCTGGGTCAGTGGTTAGAGAAGAAAATGTACATAGGTCTTCCCTAACAATTTCTACAACATTCCAATTTTGAGCCTGAAATTCTTTCCTCACTCTATGTTTGGTGATTAGGAGAAGAGAAATAGAAGAAGTACAGGAAGAGTGCTTGGATACCATCTTCTGGTAGTCCAGTATGATGCCCCAGCACTGGATGACACAAGATCTGTAGATGGCTACAGGATGTTATCTTAAAGTTCATGATTCGAGTGGTGGAAATATAAGTACTTTAAAAACATGAACACACTATGAACCAGTAATCCCAATTCTTGAGCTGTCTCCAAAGATAATTACACAAGTACCCCAAAAATGATGCTCAAGGATGTTTAATCACAGCACTGTGTACAGAAACTAAAAGTGGGAAACAGCCTATATGTCCAATAATGGAGAATGGCTAAATAAATTAGGATGCATCTATACCATGGAATACTATGCATACATTAAAAAGGCTAATGTGGACTTATATTTATTGACATGGAAAGTTTCCCACAACCTGGCATTTTTGTAAGGGAAAATAGCAAGTTAGAGTACAGCATGTATAGCATGATACATATACAGATATAGAGATATCTGGAGGGATATCACCAAAAGATACTAGGTAATTGTGAGATGTAAAAGGCCTAGGTGCTGTACTTTTGGATTTTTGTTTTATTAGAAATTGTCTTTTTTTTTTATAATAAGCAGATATCATTTCTCCTAATACAAAAAAGGCATTTTTAAAAAAGCTATGAGGGCTTAGAGGCTGTAGTTACTGGCCACTCCTTCTCAGTATTCCTTAGGACCCCAGTCTCCAAGATTGTCAACTATCAATATTATAATGTCACCTCAGCTCTGAAAGGGACATGGCCTTTCATACTCCTGGCTACCTTGGAGCCTTGGGTTGTTACACCTGCATAGAGGGTGTTAGACTTGGTGTGGGCCACTAACGAGGAGACACACAGTGCTCTGAGGACAAGGGGTGAGGATGAGAGTAGAGAGTAGAGTGGAAGGCAGTGGTAGAAGAGGAAGTGTTTTTTTAGAGATCAGTAACTATCCCTAAATCTTTGTCCAAAATTTAAATCCATTTTCCTTTCTATAACCCCAGAACTTAGGGCAAAAATGAGAATGGATACCTGGGATACAGAAGAGATGTTACTAGAAAATTCGTGTGAAGGAGCCTTTGGTTCCTATAGTTAGTACTCCTTAAATGAAGGGCAGAGGGGAGAGAGCAAGAGTGAGAGAATGTACGAGGCCAGGGCAGAGGATGGGTGGAGTGCAGTCTATACCCTGTTGGAAACTGGCCAATACCCTCCTACCCTGAAATGGTCTGGGAAGCACAGGAAACCTGGCACTTGGCTTCACTTACAATAACTGGCCTTTTTCTATTTTTACTTTCAACAGACTACTAAAGAGAAAAACAGTGGGAAATCAAAAGAAACATCTGATATCCCTCCCTCAGCAAACAGGTTCATCTCCAGAACTATCACGACTACTCGGTTTTTAAATTTCTATTTGATAATGTCTCTACACTCCCCATACAACTCCACCTACTCATCCTTGAGAACCCCTGTTATTCCTGTGTATCTGTATTCTAGCCATCAAATCAATCCTATACTCAGTGAGAGGCTCAAGAAAAGTGAGATGGCATCCACTGAGAATGAAGACCATCTTGGTAAAAAAGAACAGAGACTTTACATCTTTGTACCCAGACGTTGCTGACAAAGCTTGTGGACAGTAAGTCACGGGTGATCAACCAAAATTGAGCCGTAGAAATACACATTTTTTTCTTTAAGGTTCTTGGGCAGAAAAGGAGTGTCAAAAATAAATAGAATTTATTTGCTGAGAATTATGCTGTAATGAATCATTTTCAGTCACACCTCCATAAATAACTTTGTTTTAAAGCCCCAGCCACTGTCTGCGAAGCCCAGAACAATTGCTTTGCTGTTCCCAGGAACAGTAACTGCTGCCTCTACTAACACTTTGGTTAGCTATGCAAAAAATACAGGCACTTGAATGCATTCATCCCTCTATCCCAAGGGTGGTAGTGGTAGTGGTGGTAGTTATTACTATTACTACTACTATAGGTTGAGTATCCCTTATCTGAAATGCTTGGGACTGGAAGCATTTCCGATTTCAGATTTATTTTGATTTGGGAATATTTGCATTATATGTACTTACTAGTTGAGCATCCCTAATTCCAAAAATTTCTAATTATAGAGGATTTTGGATTTTGGATTTTCAGATTAGGGATGCTCAATCTGTATTACTTTCACCATAACAATGCAGCCACTACTTACTGAGTTATTCTGGATGCCAGGCCAGTGCTAAGTTCTTTATATCTATTATGTTATTCACAACAACCCTTGGGGGTAAGTATATACCTGATGGCATTTCACAGATGAGGAAACTAAGGGGCAGAAAAGTCAAATAAACTCGCCCAAGATCCCACAGCCTACAAAAAGCAGAGCAGGATGTTCTCACTCATATGTGGGAGATTTAAAAAGTGGATCTCATGAAGATAGAGAATAGACTGGCAGTTACCAGAGGACAGGAAAGTGCGGGGTGGTGGGGGAATGAGGAGAAGTTGATTACTGGAAACACATATACAATATGATAGATTGGTAGGGTGACTATAGTTTATAATAATCTAGTGTATATTTCAAACTAGCTAGAAGAGAATAACTCGAATGTTCTAGCATAAAGACAAATATTTAAGGTGATGGATATCCCAAACACTGATTTGATCTTCATAAATTATATGAATGCATTAAATTATCCTATGTACCCACAAAATGTGTACATCTATTATATATCGATTTATAAATTAAATTGAATTTTAAAATTTGGGGGAGAGAAGGAAAAAAAGTAGAGCAGGGAATTCAATCCTGTTATTTCTGACTCTAGAGCAATTTAAAGCCAGAAAGAAAGAGAAAGCTGTATCTAAGAAAAAACGCTGGCCAGGTGCAGTGGCTTATGCCTAGCACTTTGGAAGGCCAAGGCAGGTGAATCACTAAAGGTCAGGAGTTCAATACCAGCCTGGCAAATATGGTGAAACCCCATCTCTACTAAAAATACAAAAATTAAGGTTGGGCGCGGTGGCTCACGCCTGTAATCCCAGCACTCTGGGAGGCCAAGGCGGGCAGATCACTTGAGGTCAGGAATTCAAGACCAGCCTGACCAACATGGTGAAACCCCATGCAAAAAAAAAAAAAAAAAAAAAATTAGCTGGGCATGGTGGCACAAGCCTGTAATCCCAGCTACTCTGGAGGCTGAGGCCAGAGAATTGCTTGAACCTTGGAGGTGGAGGCTGCAGTGAACTGAGATCACTCCACTGCACTCCAGCCTGTGCAAGAGTGAGGTTCTGTCTCAAAAAAAAAAAAAGAAAAAATGCTGAAGTATTTTCATGCCTGTGTCAGCAGAATTATATTAATATCAATAAGCACACCAATAGTGGTAGCACACATGGTTGATTCAGCACTTTCATTTGCCAGGTACTGGGCTAAGTTCTTTATATATATATATCATTGCCTTTAATCTTCAAAAGCCTATGAAGTTGATTCTATCACCACCATCTTACAGAGGCAGAAAATGATATTCAGAGAGGTTAAATAATTTGTCCTTGGGCACGCTGGGACAGGAGGTGGCAGAAACAGTTTTCAAACTAAGGTCCTTCTCTCTACCCTATACCATCTCACCAAGCAGTATAAATCAACTAACTCATAAATGCTTCTGAGGGATAGAAACCTTGTACAGAAAGATCCCTCTTACAACCCCATCTAGGTCTGACACTGCCAATGGCTGCAGCATTTGCTCGTATCTTCAAAGGAACCAACCCAAGCACCTTAGAGGTCTTTGATAGGATTCTGACTGAGGCACAGCTTAGGAATCATGAAGCTGAAAGGAACGTTACAGAGCCTCTAGTCCAATCCCTGTTGTTATAAAAATGAGGAACTTGAGATACAGAAAGGTTAAGTGGTTTGCCCAAGATGATACAGCTGATGGCTGGCAGAGCTGCTCCTAAAAATCCAGACCTCGTGTGCCCAAGTCAGTGCTCTACTCTCTTAAAAAATACTGCATCCTCCCTGGGTCTTCTTTGGCCTCTCAGCCTATATACCACCTCTAATTTGCCTGATAAATATCACTGGAGAATTCTGCTGACAATCATTCTCACCTGGGGATAGAACAAATATCTCTACTGAATAAGAGTTTTATCAGGCAGGAGACTACGATTCAATAAACCATAAGAAAATTGGATCATGCACATTTCTCTTTATGACATACGTGGTTATGAGGCAGGCATACCTTCTCAGCCAATAGAGAAGGGGAAGTGGATGGGAAAAAGGGATGGGAGTGTGTACCTTATGAAGGTGAGCTGGGTGAAGAATTTAAGTTGGACCACATCTAACAAAACTGAATTTCAGTTTATTGGCACACTTCCCTTTGTGCAATGTAGGTGTTCCGAGGTGTCAACCAAATTTTCCTACATAGAATCCATCAACCACAGAAAGTTATTTAAATACCCTCTCCACAATACAATTAGTGTACCCTTAGTCATGTAAGGGAAAAAAATTCTTTGAGTGAATATTAATTTTGTTGTTACAGGCTGCTAACATACTTTCCAAACCCCTTATCAAGCTGGGTGACTAGGCAATATCCCCAGTGAAGGCAGGAATAACAGTGCCTACCTCACAGGCCTATTGTAAAGTTTAAAAGGGATGATACAGGTCGGGCGCAGTGGCTCATGCCTGTAATCCCAGCATTTTGGGAGGCCAAGGCAGGTAGATCATGAGGTCAAGAGATCGAGACCAGCCTGGCCATGGTGGCATGTGCCTGTAGTCCCAGCTACTCAGGAGGCTGAGGCAGGGGAATCGCTTGAATCCAGGAGACGTAGGGTTGCAGTGAGCCAAGATAGTGCCACTGCACTCCAACCTGGCAAAAGAGCAAGACTC